TATATATATATATATGTGTGTGTGCGTGTGTCAATATACATTTTTAATCTTATGTAGCTCATGGAATGCTGGCTGTTTTGTGAAGCAGTGCGGGGTTAAGACTTGCTCACATTGTTTACAATCGTATCCACCTTTTAGGTTTTGCAAAGTTCGGACCCTCTAGATCAGCCAGACTTTGATGCCATTGATTACATAAATAAATTGTTCCCCACGGAGCAGTCCCTGTCTGAGCTTGATCCCGTCATCGCTAAATTGAAATTGAAAATTCGGTAAGGAATTCGCTGATTGTAAACTACGTTTTGTGTAACAACTATTTTTTTTTCGGGACCAAATTCAGGTCTATGTTATGAGACACGTTCAGACCCCTTTCATTTTTTTAGAGAGGTTTATGCGTTCTACTTGTAATTCGATTCTAAGTTCCATGACTGTACCAGGATCGTGAGTATCCATTGGTGCAGTATCTCATTATTTTATTGCCGGGTTTGTTGTACTTCAGACGACTCGACATTGACATTAGAGAGACTATTCACCTACAGCCAGCCGTTGGAGAAGATGGTGTGTGAGAGTTCCGCGTTCACGTGGCATGATCGGATCCCTACCCCCCTAACTCACCTAGAGCCTGCTTCAGGTCTTTTGGTCGTGTGTCGGGAATTGTACCATCCTAAAACTACCATATGTTTTGTATGGCCCGTGATCGTGATTTTGAGGGGTTACTGTATACCCTGGTGAATAGCTCGAGATGAAGCGTTTATCAAGGCCCCGTAAAATGTCACTCGCTTAGGTTTCGCCTGGAGTTTGGCTGGATATTTTGGAAATTGTGCTTATCAGACTGCCTATACAGTTGGTATAACTCTTCTACTATGACAATATGTGTCAAGACATTGTCGAATCGGTGTCTCGTTATTTCACTGAACATATTGGTACTGTCTCACAAGTCTGGGCGTGTAACGCATCATGTCGTACTTCGGCAAATACAATCAGCGGGGTGCATAGTAGATAATTTGGTATTGGGTGTACCATGTGTGTTGACATGTCTCCCATGTTCTCTCTATTCCCTCCCAGGCCGAGTTGCGTTGCAGGAATCGCAGACAGCGATCAAAGAACTCATGACCCGCATCCAAGACATTCGGATTAAGGCCCAGACGTCTGAAAAAATGGTATGGTGAGATGTTCACATCGAGTTAACAAGCATAAATGTAGCAAATGAACAGTGTGGACAGATTCCTGATTCCGTTCGCTAATTGATTTTATATCGGATGCGGCTGTGCAGACACTGTAACATGGCCTATGTCACAATTCTTTATGTCAGTTTACATACGTTGTTTAATTTTAATGACTTATATGTTGATTTCATCAGGTGCAAGATGTCACTCGAGACATCAAGTCGCTCGACTATGCGAAGACCCACCTGACGCAATCCATCAATACACTTAACCACATGCATATGCTGGTAAGTCGTTTTCACATTCACATTCGATCTTAGCATTCGGACAAGGCAGGTTTAAAGCATAGTGTTTTTCTTTTTTTACTTTTCGCTGCCATTGAATATCACGTAGAACTCACTGTGGCTTTCACTGCATCTGCCTCATCCGATGAAATCGCGAACTCTCCTGTGGGGCACGACACCTAATAAACATACACTTTGTCTGTTCTTATATGGGAGTTGTCACTATTGTCTACGTCTTTGTATGGCCAGGTGGGAGGTGTGGAGACTCTGAAAGAGATGTCTGGGAGGCGGCAGTACCGTGATGCCGCGAACCTCCTAGAGGCTATATCCAATATTATCATGGAATTCGAGAGGTTCAGCAATATTCCAAAAGTGCGGACGATCATGGATGATGTGCGCGAGCTCAAATTAGAACTCCGCGGGCAGATAAAACAGGTATGAAGGCAACAGCTTTGATTATAAATACATAGCCACAATACTGAAGTCTCTGTTGGTCGCTAAATAAGATTGTTCTTTTTTTTTTCTTATATATCTGTAGCATTCTCAAGATGATAAAACACACCCTTTCTTTGCAGGACTTTGAAGACAGCTTCACAGGGAAGCAGTACTCTGGCCCAGTCGAGCATTTACGCGAGGCGTGCCAGGTGTTGGAAGTCCTGGGACCCGAGAGCAAGAAAGAGATGATCGATTGGTTTGTTCGCAAGCAAATGGCGGATTATTATACGGTATTTCCGGACGGTGAAGAGGTTTCTGGTCTGGATAAGGTGCGTCGCGTAGCCGGATTGAACTATTCACGGCATTGTCACGATATGTACTGTTTACGCAATGGTTGTCTGTGCTGTGCTAGATTATTACGTGTATACGATCGTACTATTGACTAAGGCTTGCGAAGGGCGCCTGGGTTACTTTCGCGCATTGGTTTATTTTAGAGGGAGGGCCAGTCATCACTTGTCAGCCCTATTAATCAAACTGGAGGTGAAGGTCCAGTAAACGGTGAATTGCTTACGGATCTGTCAAGTTATCATCATACTACCCTATTATAGGTGGATCGAAGATATTCGTGGGCGAAGAGGATAGTCTCAGACTACGAAGAGTGTTGTACTGGTGTATTCCCGGCTTCTTGGCGCATGAACGAGGCCATCTTCTACGAATTCTGCCTCACTTGGAGGAAAAATCTAGTTTCCTTGCTGGCGAAGAACAAGACCACCTTGAATGTGGAGCTGCTACTGTCGCTCCTTCAGAAGACTGTTGCATTTGAAAAGTACCTGACTAGTCGATTCTGGGTGCCCACAGGGCCCTTGGTGGTGTCTCCAAACGAAGGTATAGGTATACAAACCCGTGTATAATTCAAGATTTTAGTCGGTTGGTTTGCACCATTCGAAGAGGATTCCGTCCATTAGGGTCTGATATCTGTGGCAACGTTGTGTCATACGGATGACAGACTGTTAGCCTCGGTTTTAATTTAACCAAGAGCGAACAGACGCGACAGCATGTGATGTATATTCACTACGTTTTGACTTGCAATGCAGGGGAGAAAATTTTATTACATCCTGCAGCTTTCGTATTATTTCTTATGATTTCTTGCATCATAGCCTGTTCGAACAAAACGAGTATCGCATGAAACAGGACAACACTCTCAAGTCTTTGCAAATCTTTCTTTCCTTTTATACCTTGCACAATGTTTAGCTGCTGGGGATGATCATGGGGACGGTGACAATCTGAGCTTAGACGGCACTCACAGTGGGCTGTCGGCAGTGGGAAGTGGACTATTACCGTCTGGCCCTCAACTCAGGAGGAAAGACAAGAAGAAGGAGCCCAAGACATCCAAGTTTACCCGTCTCATCTCTAGTGTGTTCGAGGGCTATATGAGCATATACATAGACGCACAAGACAGGCATCTAAACGATACCATCAACGAGGCTGTAGTAAGTGCCAGGCAAGCGCACAAGGCCATCATAGAAGACGACACCGTTGATGTTACCACGAGTGGCATCGCAAAGGTGCTTGCAAGCTCTTCGGACTTGTTCTTTTTCTACAAGAACTGCATGGTGCAGGTATGATTCTAGTGCTACCTCTGCAACATCTTGTCCAAATTCGAGTGCGTTATACAGCTAGAGAGCTCTATGATGTCTATGTGCACTAGCCTTGCCCGATGATCATTATTCAGTCCCAACGCTCGTCCAAACTGTGTTTATGCCCTCCTTCACTGCTCGTGTAAATTCAGCAACCGCCTTAAATCACATTCAAACAAGCAATACTCTCTTTTTGATACAGTGTTCGTCGATGACCACGAAACAGCCTCTTTTTCAAATATACAAGCTGTTTGCGAAATATTTGACCTTGTACGCTTCCAAAGTTCTGACGAGAACACTGCCCAAGTAAGTCCACAGACACGCTGCCAATGTAAGTGAGTCATGTGTTGTCGGCAGTGAAATATGTCTTCCCGGCACATGAAGTCGTCAATATTATACTATAGCAATACATTGCCATGCGCATGAATAACTGTCCTCGTTTGCCGTCATGTGACATCAATCGTCTACACAGCACATGAGTGATCAGTCGCCTAGAGCATCAACGAACCCACTGAATAATGTACTGAAGACGAGTACATCTGCTTAAACCATGCGCTATGTGTTAACAACTACTCAACAGGTCTCTCCTCAAATAAAACTTGGTATAGCCAGATGGTGTATGATGCCCTGGTTACATGCTATGTGTTAACAACTACTCAACAGGTCTCTCCTCAAATAAAACTTGGTATAGCCAGATGGTGTATGATGCCCTGGTTACATGCTTAGAAATACATACAAATATTTGCATAGTTGCTAGCATGACAACCATGTCGTAAGAGATTACACCGTGCAGTGTGCCACTCATTGAATACAATTAATATATCTAGTATAGCCACCCCACTGTTGCTATTTTTTGATAACCACTCCTCTGTCACATCCGCTTAGGGCGTCGTTGTTGTCTAGTGTGGCCGTGGATCAGCGCGTACAGCAGGAGACCCTAACACCTCAGGAGATATACGTAGTGTGCTCGATTCTGAACACAGCCGAGTACTGCTCAGACACCACCGCCCAACTGGCCACCAAGCTTAAGGAGAAGATTGACGTGGAATACCAAGACAAAGTTGAGTTGCTTGAGCAGCAAGACGGGTTCCACGAGTATGTTCCTAAGCTACCCTGTGCGAATTGTTGTGTAGTTGCATGACTATTTATAGGAATTGCAGTGAAAATTCACTGCGATCGAAATAGGATTGTTGGCTGATGTGTTATTCTACCCTAATCGTCAAGCACTGTTAAACCTGCACAGTTATGCGGCAGTTGTCTTTTGTATACTGACAGTGCCGTTTCATTATATGTTTGCCTGGATCTCCGGAATGTTTCAAGAATATTAAATTTGGTACTGTCATTACACATGTGGGCTGCTTGATTATTCTGCATGGATGATCCGAGTGCTGGACAATGACACGATCTCGCCGTGCCACACTGTTTGTATTTTTTTCTCATTCACAGGGTCGTCAGTTCGGGAATTTCGCTTCTGGTGAGATCTCTCGAAGTAACCTGCGACGATGTGTGCAACCGGTATGTTACTGCCAAAAAAAAATAGTTTTGTGCTTGCTCTCCTTCAAAAAGTGCTAGTTGTTTGCGTATCGTATACTGGCGGCAGCCCACGAGTCAAGTAGTATCAGTGTACAGTAAGTGTATGTCTTCCGTTGCACGGAAATTGTGTAACAAATCAGTATGCGAAACGTCACGAACGCCCCCATATACGCCTAACATAATTACAAGACTAGGGAAGGAATTCGTACTATTTTACTTTTCTAATTTTTCAAAATTTGAAATATCAACGTTTTAGGTGTATTTGAAATGTTATTAACAGCCATCCGAGTCTACGAATACTGATCACAATATTGTGTATGATCGCAATGGGCGATTTTATGAATACTATATATTGTTAGTACACACAATTATAACTTAGTGTGTCCGTACCCTCATCTCTTCCTTGCTCGCTCGTTGAATGTTCAAAACCCCTTAAGGGTTACGACCTCCTCCTCATCTGGTGACTAGCATACTAATCAAAGGAGGTGACTGACAAGTGACTGGGTATCCCTTCTCCTTGTTTGAAGTAAATACAAATATATGTATTTGTATAAATTTATATATAGATCGCTGATTGCTGCATCCATGGACATACTCTCTTGTAGTCTTGCCGAATATATGTTGAATATACGCTCTCGAGTAGTCAACTTGGAAAACATCACTCAACCTGTTCACATACAACTTGAACTCGCTTTGAATTTCGAATAATTTGGAAAACCTCACTCAACCAGTCCACATACAAACTTGAACTCGCTTTGAATTTCGAATGGCAGCATAGTAACTTACAACTGGGGAGAACACACCACTGTGGGCGACACGTCGCCGTATGTCAGCGTCTTAGCGCAGGCTCTCAACAAGTATGTAGCCTGCTGGTACATGTCTCTACTTATGCGTCTTTTGTTGGCCTAAATATTGCTTTCGATTGATATCACTACCGAGTTCCGTTGAGCATGCTTTCTTCGGAAAGGCGCTTGCTTAGTTGTTCATCTATCCGGATTCATTTGTGTACATTTTCGATTTCAATTCCATCTCCAGTGCAATTCCGGTTATTCGCAATGGGGTGGAAACCAAATACTTCAATAACTTCTGCATGAAATTAGTCAGGTATGACCTTTCATTTACGCTCGCCATGTAAGTCCTTTCGGTTTTTTATCTGAGATCAGCTGCTTTTCTTTCGATGATTAACTCGTGCGGCGTCTGTGTTGGTCAGATTGTACGATTAGAATACCAGCCTGTTTAACAAACTCCATTCCAAGCATCTCGCATGTGACGTTCGCTTCGGCATAGTAAACTGCACAGAGATTCAAGCGAAGTTTAACTATTAAGATTACCATCATCAGACTTCCCTGAAAATACCCCCATCACCCCGCGTATTAATACCCAATCATCCGCCATCCCATCGCAGCTCTTTTCTTCCACGCTACTCGGCGTCTCTGTATAAGGCACATAATGTGTGCACTGTAGCGGCCGAACAACTGCTCCTAGACGCGCACGCCATAAAGGAGTTGCTAAGCAACATGCACTCGCTTGACTCAGAAACTGCTGTAAACAAGCCAGCAAGGTATGCAGCTCACCCACACCCCATCGTGCTGTTTATATTCGCGATTCAATCGATACCTGAGTATGTGTATTGTAGCCTGTACCCATTGATCTAGCAGTGGCATTGTATTCAAGCTGGATTGCCTGGTATAGGTTTCACGCTAGTATGGTTATTCAGAAATCCAACTAATCTAAGGTGTATATTCTAGTAGCAGCTATATCAACCAGTCCGGTAAATTTTGATCCACATTACCGGTCGCTCATTCATTTTATCGTCACATTTTAAAAAACCTAAAAGCCTTTTAAATTGCTTCATCTGGAACATTCGTTTAGTAGTATGATGCAAACGGCCCAAATACACATTAACGATGTTTGTTCTCTATCTGCAGCTACACCAAAATGGTACTGAAGAATATGACCAAGGTGGAGATGAGCTTAAAGGTATGGAAGTGAAGCTGTTCATAATGCAGAATATTCGGATTTATGTGTGCCAAAGACGTGGCTAGTACCTGTGGGAATGATTTAAACAAGTCCACCTCTCTGCCAGGATTCTTAGACCTTGACCACTCCCAACTGAGGTTTGCATGTACATGCCTATACAATGTCAGTGTCACTGGCGGCTGACGGTGGAATATACGTATTCTAAATATGATGTATATACACACACATAGGGGAGCGCACATATATATATATATATATATATGTATATATATATATATATATATATATATTGTTGTTATATATTTATTATATATATTATTATTATTATTTAGTTTGTTTTGTTTATTTATTATTATTATTATTATATATATATATATATTAATTATTATTTATTATTATATTATTATATATAGTGTGTGTGTGTGTGTAGTA